AAATGTTTTGTATTAAGTATTCAGTATTTGGGGGATTGGGGAGATCCTGAAATCTGAGAAAATCTTGAGAAATCAACATGCAGTACACCAAAAACCTTGCAGCTGTGTAGTGCTTACTTGCATCCGTGCAGTGGGTGTATGACGGTGAGGGGTGATGTAGTGATGCCGTAGTAGGCCTCGGGAGACGACACCAACAACGCTTCCTCATCGGGTTTATCCTCCTCGTCACTGGCAACCTCCATCTCTGCATCTTCATTGTCGCTCTCCGACTCCTGCTGAAAACGACGCAAAATGATGAAATCCTAAATTTTCACAGGATGTTAGGCTTCCCTTTTCCTTGCAATCTGTCTGCATTTGCCTGTTACTTTTACGGCAATTTCCATTCTGTAACATTTATTTTACTGTAGAAGTCAAACACATCTAACAATGAATGCAATCCAATCACATTCCCTCTGCATGTGCCAACTCCAAGCCTTCCAAGGCATCAATGAAGAATAACGAGTCTTCATTTGCACTGTTTACTGTCATCATCTGCCCCGGCCGAGATGAGAGCTCTGCTGACGTATACTCCCACATTGTTCATTTCTACCGAAAACCTGATTGGGGAAAATCTGCAGTAGGTCTCACCTGCTGGGGTCCACCTTTGCCTCGAACCATCTGCGTCAGAGTGAGAGGTTTATCCTTGGCATCACCGGCATCCTTTCCAGTTACCGACTTTTGACCTCTGGCTTTCCTTCTTCCCCTGCTGGGTCGGTTCTTGGCAGTCTGGTTGGACTGAATCAGTAAAAACTTCATGGAATCAATTTAAATTTCCATTTGTCTATTTCTCTGTCTATTTTGCAACCACGGGTTGTTTCTAATAGAATAGAATAGAACGATTGCGACGATTAAGTCACATGACCTATAGTGGGTATCAAACATCAACAAACACGGCGTCCTCCACAGTAAAGTGTGTCATAAGTGTCATTTCCTAAAAACAGAGCCAACAGTCCGTTCAGTACTCAGACTACCGATGTGCGGAGTGCTACACTGAAAATCGGCTTTAGGTGTGGTAAACAGCACTTCCAACACACTTTGTTGTGAGAGGACACCATGTTTGTTGATGTTTGATACCCACTATAGATCATGTCACTGAGCAAGCACAATCAGTCGACTGTTTTTCTTTCAAAGTCTGGAAGAGAAAAGGTTTAAAGCTTGCAAACAATTTCAACTAAAAAGGTTCCATTCTATGTCTCGGCTGAATGGGCCAAAATTTATTTTGCATTTTATCCCACACAAGGCCCATTACCATCTGTCTTGCTGCTGCTGTACCATCCGTATCCTTGCTTGACTGGTCCGCGAGAGTCTTTGCATATAGTCTCTGCAGCAGCTCCTGGCCACCATCTTGGAGGTACTCTTTCAGCTGAGCGCAGGTTCTGTCATCGCTGGCGCATATCAAGATGCGACTGCTGTTGAATTCTGATTCTACATGGAGGAAAGCGATATTACATTCTGTCAGCTGACTTAGGACAAGTTTTCCCTTCTTGTTTTCTCTGCGCAACATGTTTCTTCCTTCTTAAGAGCTTTGGAACAAACAAGTGTGAATAAAGCAGTCCTAGTACTTACTGTTACAGCCTACAGTACTGGCCGTGTAAATTGGCTAGGAGGTACATGCCGAAATCTTACCCCTTTATCCAGAGACTAAGCCCACGCTCACGAGTAGAAAACTGTTCAGTAACCATTGAAGGCATGGCGATTATTTGACCATGCCATCTGGAGTGTGCATTGGGAACTAGCAGCTACATGGTGTCTGTTTCTGCAGAATCGAATTTTGGAATGGGGCACAGACTCACTCATTGCGGTGCTTTCTTGCTTAATTTCCTCCATGATTTCGGATAGTACCTTCCACTTTGGGTTCTCTTCCAGGTTCAGTTCTGAGGGAGGAGGAATGAATAACCCGTGTTGCAAGAAATAGGCAATCACGCAATCATTCAAATACAAACACTAGCTCATTATCTAACAGCTGTGCACGACCACAATGCACGAGTCTGCAACTAGTTTAAATAAAAGTTGACTGCTCGGAAAAACAGTCTAACACAAGTTTCGGTTGGAAGGTAGGAATTCCGATGTTGATTTTCTATTAAGATGAGATACCATGATCAATTGCACAAGAGCAAGGTTTTGGTTATATTTACCTCGAGTGGCTGGTGCCCTGTCACTGGTACCCTCACCATCCTGAGTAATCTTCCCCTTCGCTGTCTTGGATGATTTATACACTCGACCTTTGGCGTGCTATATGGCACATGATTAAAATAGACATAAATTTGTTAAACAAACAAGAAAAAAATCATCATCAGAGACAAAATCACTGGCAATGCCCACTGGTTTAACTTAAATCTCTTTGTTTGCGGGTGAAGAAAGCTGATAGTCTTACCGCAAACATGGATTCAGCTGCTTCCATAAACAACCAACCCGAGTTATTTGTAACGGTTTTCTCACTGGATCTGCGGGGAGAGATTTGAGGGGGAAAAGAGAGGGTGAGCCATTCAGTCCAGTGAGGCCTACAGAGAGGGAAAAACCATACCACTGCATACTCTTCCACATGGCTTGCATCATGGGTTTCTTAATATCCTTCAGAAAGGGAAGATTCGCCAATGTGACTTTTTACGGACACCTTGTCAGTAGAGAGCATGCCCACAAAGATAACATTTGTGTTCATTTTATGGACTGACATGTACATGTCCCACATACCACAGCGCTCGCCAAGGCGAGACGCGCAGTGTAACGTGAGGACAAGTAAAAAAATCATCATTATTATTCAGATGGATATTTTTAGCTTAAGAATTTTCTTTTCTGATATTTTTCCCCGATATTGGCAATTTGTCAAACATCAATTGTTAGGAGGTAACACTTTCAAATTAATGATTTTAAAATCAAATTCATTTCAATTACCTCAGGGATTTGAGAAAATTGTAGAATGTAACACAGTCGTACTGTGTCAAGTAGCTGAAAAACAAAAAATGCATACACATGAAAATATATTGATGTACACGAACGAGCAATAATAGATTATTCTTAACCAGTGACAGTGTAAGCTTTACCCAAAAAATCAGATCATTTTGACATGAGGATGCACATTTAATGCGTGTTTTACATGCAGCATATGTTAAATACATCAACCACTCGAAATCACTTGAAATTCTTTGCCTACAAGCTGACAAGAAGATCACGTTAAAGCAAAGGTTTGGTGTACTCACTACAATAGCATCTGCAGAAGCTTCAAATCGGCCACAAGTTGTTTTGTGGTGGAAGTCTGAACGGAGGGAAAACAAGGTACTGAAAATTAGTAAGCAAACACAAAATTAAGGTTACCTACAAAATATGATTACTTTCCAATTCCACCTAGACACACCTGCCTTTGTTATAAAAACAATCACGATATGCAGTGAAAAACATTCACAAAATTGCCAGTGGTATGTGAATCTGATTCCTGTTTCGCAAAAGTTATGCTTTTCTTGGTCTTTGGTCAGGGTTGTTGGAGCATGGACGTGATAGTGGGACATGTGCAATCAGGGGGAGGGGACCATGTTCTCTTACCAGTTGATGCCAAAGAGGCTGTAGCTGTCTCCGGATAGCTTGCTCCAGTGACTTCCGTCCAATGGCTGCTTCCACTGTGATTTCCGAACTATCCAGCTGAGAAGCAGAGTGGTACAATGTAGCAGAAAGAATGCAATGATATCAATGACCATATTGATCTTTGGGCATTCACAGACATTATTATACAGGGAAAAGGAATGATTTGCAATCACCTGACAGATTAATTGTGGGCAAAAATGCTGTAAGAATCCAAAACTTGGGTTACAAAAAGCCATGGTGAAGTTTGTTTGGAATAACTTGAGTTTTATGTCAAGAATTCAGAACATTACACTAGATCAGTGAGCTCACTGGAGTCACAAAATTCTCATACGAATATATAGATTTCACTTTTTCATCAAATATGACACTAAAATACAGTGTTTGCTTGCTTTTCTATCCTTGAAATAGGCATGAAGGGGATGGGCTTTTTCCAGTGAGAATTAATCTTTCTTTAAGGTATGCATCTCTCACCGACGGGTTACATCGTTGGACTTCCTTAATGCAGGCGGCTATGATGTCGAGGATGGCCGTCTGTATAGCCAGCATGGACGGGCTAAGTTTGAGCTGAATCTCGACTACATCAGGCTGACAGGGAAAAAAAATCACAAATAAAAACCAGAATTTGAAACGAGATAACCATTTTGTTTGTCAGTAGACAAACACTACTGCTATTTCGGGAAACTCTTTTGGTCTGATGAAAAAGGAAGTTGGAACAGGTGGGAATCGAACAGCTGTCGTTCAAAATTTCTATGGGACCACTACCCTCTTTGCTACAGAAGAGCGTGACAATACATCGTCATATGCTTTCCCCGCCATGTGTTTGGCCTTTTGCCAGCTCAGTGCACTGTGCACTGCTTATGGTACAGGCAGATATGCGTCCATGCACACAATAGCCAATGCAATCTATGTGAATGGGATTTTCGAGTTCGTAAATATTGCAAGGTGGGATTTTGTCATCAGTGCTCCATCTGTGTGAAGACGTACACCAATTATGCACTTCATGCAATTGACTTCAATGTTTCAGCTATTATCTAATGGACATTTCACTATTCAATCTTATACGGTAGATTTTTTACCAAATTTTGAAGAATAAAGGGACTGTTTATCATAACTTCCCGTATGATGACGTCATTGGCCCCAACTTTCACACACGTGTTAACTGGGTGAAGATTATCATCCACATCAATTTTCAGGTGATTCCGACAAGCTTCGCCACAGACATCTATTCAAAATTCATTTTTCAAAATTTTCAACCTGTCGCTAGAGGCCACTTGACAATTACGTAATGTCATCAGTAGATGATTTCAAGAGTACTATACCCCCACTGACTAACACCGTCGAAAACAACTTGCTACTGATTAACACTTTTAAATAATAAGCCCACTTCCGGTTTCAACCAGAAGGATGGGTCGCGTGAATTGACCCCCACGAGAGGAATTGAAGACCCAATTTTACCCTGGCACTTGCCGCAAACAGAATGTTGCGGGAGGCCACGGTTGATTTTATATGGATTTTAACCTTAACGTAATATTTGAATAATCAAAATTTAATAATAAATCATTAGGTGACGTCATCATGACGTAATTATTATAGCATTATCTTTGCTTCGAGGTCTTTGCTTAGTGTAACTTTGATGACATTTGAAGATTGCTGAACAACCAAAATGTTGCTTTGAAAATGTGTACAAAACATATGGGGAAAAAGTAAATATTAAAAATTTTATAATAAATCAGGTGATGATGTCATGATGCCGTCATGATTCGGCATATATCCTCGGGTGGTAGTCTAACAATGTGCCGGGTTTGAAGTAAATCGGTCCGAAGTAAGGACCGAAAGTGGTGTGTAGAACGGCCTCGTGTTATGTCAGTAGCAAAAATTTGAAAAAGAAGAAGAAAGAGAGAGAAAAAAATCTGAACGAAAACAAAAGCTGTTTCAGCCAGTTCCAAACAGGACTGTAGGACCCTCATGGGTGACACATTACATTTTGCTACAGTGTATTTTACCTTATGTGCATCCATATAATCAGTCACAGATGCATGGAACCTGTCACCAAAAATTTAAGAAGAAAATTTATAACAAATGTAGAGGTACCAATCACAAGAAGTTTTTGTGGTATCAACAACTATTTGGCATAGTTGTTTGCTACCAAGTGTCCTCAGTTGTAAAGGGAACCATGATTTAATTAGACTGACACTATAAATGACATGGTTTAATTCATGGGAAATATTTTACTCCTTTTTGGAAGAGCAAAATGGGAAACTATGAAGGTAAATTAAAATTATTCCTAGCAGCATACACTCATTCTCAAATCTTTCTTTTTCATAGCTAACAATAACTTTGAATTCCCTTTTCAAATTGTTGGGGCTCCCTCTGAAGACCGACTTTTCCTTTGGGTACTCTGTAGGTCTGTTTGATGTTGAAAAGCATCCCACCGATCTACCTCGGCCACAGGAAGAGCTTGCGGACAAACAGGTTACGCATCACCCTCTCCAGCTGGCAGAGGCCCGCGGCAAAGGACTGGGGCTGGTCTGAAAGGGCCTTGATGAAGCCTGTCTTGTTCTTCTGACGGTAAAGACGTAGGATGAATGCCTCCTGGCAAGATTCGATGATCCTAAAATTGGGAGAAAACAGATGCAAGAAGGAGTGAAAAGAATGTTGTGAAATGACAATTTACGGTAATTTGTGGAACTGTGTATAATTGGTGGAACATACATTATGTAATCATTTGTGGCCAACTGCCAAATACAGGCAGAAAAACAAGTGACAGGAACTACTGTACATAAAGGTAAAAAATCTGCAACTTCTTGGGGCCTCAAGGGATTTTAAGAAACATTCTATTTTTCTGTTTTGGAAATTTTCAGATTGCTTTGGAGTAATTCTTGGTTTTTGAAAGAACAGTAAGATCTCTGTATTATTTTTTACAACACAATCTATACTGAGATGAAATAAAGAAAAATATACAACATTCCCCCAAGAAAGGAATTTTTTAAAAGAATTTTGAAATACATCTCAAACCTGATTGTAATGTCTACCTATCAGGCCTGAGGCCTAGTAAAATTTTGGCAATTCAAAAAATAATGGCATTTCTGTACCCCCTTACTTGTGTGCCTTGAAAACAAGCACTCCAGTCACTAAGTCAATGGGAAGTCGATCAGTTAACATATCCACAACAAGAATTCTGGAGGTGACAAAGAGAACCCCACCTTGAAGATAAATGTCTCTCCTGTAAAAAAAAGACCAAGACAAAAACTGAAAAAAGGTTAAAACCAAAAGAAATTTTACTGATGGACATGCAACACTCCAACAAACAGGAAATTTTCCACAAACTACCCATCAATAGCTGACATCACTATACTGTAAAACAATGGAAAATAATGGATTTCAATGTTGGAAAAAAATGCTGACCATGTACCTCTCATTTGTGCCGTATTCATTATTGATGACCTTGGGTAGTGTAGACACGCCCCTTTTCTCCAGCTCTTCAATGTAGTATCCCTGGAGAGGTCAAAGGTAAAGGCGATTCTAAAATACCCCCTACAGCTCACGTTACTACAAACTACTCCTGATGTTTAATCTCCAAACAGACACGACTCTTAAAATTGGTCATGTTAATTAAAAAAACAACTGATGAGTCCTATCAGAACATGCAATCCAAGGCAGTGTTCTAGTTTAGTCCATCAAAAGTCCTTTTTCCACCAGTCCATCCTTTCACAGGACCAGTGATGAGTAACATGGTGACTGGAAAACTGGCAGTGGACTGAACCGGAGGTGCATGCTGGTTGAAAATCGGTGCCCAGAATGGTCAGGTTTTGTCAACTCCTGTTCAAGATTTGTTCACAACATAGCTAGAGGCAGTCTCAGCAAAACAGTGCCTGAATAATAGGCCTACATTTTGTAATGATGATGTCACACTTCATTCAAATGTGTACTTTCCTGTGGGCGCCAGGAGGGGACAGTGGATTCAATGCACCCCAGGAAAGCCTACCTGTAAAGAAAAGTGTCATATCATCTGTACATAAACCTGTTTCACACCTCAATTCAAAAAGGTATCTGTGATGATCACCACAGTAACTTGGATTTATAGAGTCATGATTCCTGCGGCTTACCTCTTCGGAAGAACTCGTGTTCACAACGAGAACAAGGTTGCCTGGATCGCTGTACAGATTCAGTATGTGTAATGCAATGCGATCAATGCCCAGACCCCTGCAGTTAAATAAACGATATGTTATTAAATAAAAACAATGGAGAAATATTCCATTTTAATGAGGGTGAAAGGAGAACTCTGGACAAATATGCAGGAGGAACCCGAGGAATCAGATCAGGGCAGAAAACCAAATCCACACACTGACTGCATTCAATTGACCCTCAGGTTACAGAGGTGGAAGGCAAAGAAAGAATGGAAAGCATTCCATACATGTACGGACACCGTCTGACACTCTGTGCACCTGAGACTTGTCAACAAAATTCCAGGTGTTCTCTGAAGTGAATGCTACAATTGTTTTACTGCTAGGTTTGACTTTCCAGGACATTTTACTGCTTTCAGATGGGTAACAGATCACTGCAGGGAAAAGTTAGTAGTGTCCACAGAATTCTTTCCAACAAAACCACTGACACTAGACTGACTAAGGGAGGCTATGCCAACCTGACTCCTTGACCTTCAACCTTGACTGTAGAAATATCCAGTGCTGGGCTCATAACAAGGGGAGATACAAACGCTGGTTATTTCTGGCTAGCTGTGGGTCAGCCATATTTTGCAAAGACTTAATGATATTTATGGGGAAAGAATTCCATATGCAGACGCCACTTGAAACCCCGTGCATGAACCCTGAGACTGGTCTGAAAATTTGAGCAAAGTACTTTGTAAGTAAACAACTCTGTATTTGTCCTCCTAAATGGACCTTTTCTGTACATGTTTTTGTTCCTGATGGCTAGTATTATTATTAAGTCACTGTATGTAGGGAATAATGGCTGGAGTCCGTATATGGCACTCTTTCCATTTATGGATTACCTTACGCCCTTAGTTTAAAATTAATTTAAAATTGGTAGGTCTACAAAAATTAATGCACAGCTGCAATTCCTGACACACATTAGCATGTTGCGATCACTGAGTAGTATATGATACAGCCCTAGTTCTACTGAGTGGAGCAAGTTGTGTTCCCACTTACGCTTGATCCACCTTTTTGCACGGATATGTCGAGCCCGAAAGGCCACTGAGTTCAGTATTGTCCATGTGCTAGCTTGCTGAGCGCTCACTCTGTGGCAGTGTTGCATGCTGGGACGAGTCACATTGCATGCGTGTGACCCTTGTGGTGTTTTGGGTTTGGAGTTCTACTGATGTGACAACCTGGAATCAGACCGAATGATCAGCCTAATAGGTTGTCTCTTCAAACTTTGCTTCCGTTTTCGATACTCTGTTACACACTGTGGGCTATACTGAGTATACGCTAACACGGAATGAGTTTTTGATGGTAAGCAAGTGAAATTACACAAATGAAAAAGGTTAAGAAACGGTCGAATGCGCAATGAAAATTGATCCACCTTATAACGGTTAGCGTTCCCACTACACACAGTTGCCGGATCTGATCCACCAATTGGGGATCTGATCCGACAATTTGGCAAAAGGTGGATCAGATCAGATGCACTAACTCGGACAGGTGGCAAAAACTTAATCATGTACGTCGTGCGATTCAGAAAACTGAAACGAAAGCATCACCTGGCCATTAACAGCAAACCGTCTTCACCAAAGATCTCAAGAAACATCTGATTCTCATATTCTGAAAGCTGATGGCCCGTCGTTGAGCTTGATCTCGACATTTTCGCGGCACTCGAACTTACAACAAATGTTGATAGACCACAGACTGAGCATGTGAATTTGTTATACCGCCCTCAATAATGCATGACATTAAATAATGCTCGGCTCCCGTCCCCGCGGCCCCCTGACTCCACTGATGTGCTTGCGCTTGTGCGCTTGTTCCATTTTGATAGAAAATACACAGCCAAAAAACCCTGGTCACCAGCCACTGCTGTCATTCAATCTTAAGTAATCAAGCTGTACGGGAGCCAGTGATATTGCCAGACGATATCGAGGAGAAAGTTACTTTGTACTTCCGCTTTTATTCATCATCAGAGATCGTGTGTTTCTATTGCAACGTTGAGTGACGAAAAACGAACATGTCTGCAATTTAAAGTACAAATTCAACACAGGCCTACGTGATAAACCGGATTTGGCGTAATCAGAGAGGTCACTGTGTAAGTACTGTTTGAATGTATATTGTCCTTCCAGTTTCAAATAAAACGGGCTGTAGATTTTGAGTAGGGCTAGTCTCGAGTAATGTGCGGACTAAGTTGGAGAGACTACGGAGACAAACAGGCGCATCTATTGTGTAGGCGCATACGCGAAGCCAGGTACATGATGTAGTGGTTTATATTGGTGTAGGCAAGAATGCGTTTAAGTACAGCCATGTAGGACCTATAATCACTAGTGCTGGGGTTATAATGAAGTAATGGTCATGCCTCATCCATGATGTATACTCGTGAATTACATGTACCGTTGCATGTGTAGGCCTATCAAATATCACCCCTTTGTACTCTCTGAACAGTAAGGCAGTAATGTTACTCCTTGGATTAGGCCTTACTGGGGCCATCTTTTTTATGGTTCCGTATGGCGTTTTGAAAGCTGCCCAGTAATCGTGCTAGGTAAAACATCTGTTTGCGCTTGCTTAAGCAAATCTTCCCCTAAAGACCCTATATGGAACTGCCGTTCTCAAGTGTATTTTGTAGCGTTTAATCTATATCATCGGCAAAAATAGGGTTTTTTCCTACCATCCTCACCTCTCATCCCTCGACGATTTACACGCATGTCTGCATTCTCTTGTGGCCATAGGCCTATGTCACGTGGCAAAAACAGACGCAGCCTATTCGTGTACTGAACGTTTATGTTGCTTTGGATATCAGACCCAATAATTCCGGCTACTCTTGTTAAGATTATGTATAGAGACATCTGGACAATTTGTGGTCAGGGATTTGTTGTGCCCTGCAAAATTTCTAAGTCTTCCAAACACACTATGCATACATGTATTTGCCATGCTGGAACAGCAGCCTATTAGGGCCGGTCATTCATTCATTCATTATGGTTTATTAAAACATGAATGGCAGCCATCAGGCTGAATTGAACATGTTTTTACAATTTAAAAACCATTAAAATATTACAAAATAATAACAAAAAATTAAACCTTAAATCGTAAAACACAAATACTGATGTTAAGAAAAATTAAGTGGTATTTATAATTTTTATCATAGAAGGTACTGCGCTATTTTGAAATTGTTTAGTTTTACAACTGTATTGTACATATTTCTCAGTGTTCCCCTTATCATAAGATAGTGGTTGTTTTGTACAAAGCCACTCAGTCCCAAATGCACTTTTCTCCAACTGTGCACTATCCACTGCTTGAGGATAATTCATGAGGTGACAGGTGGAATGTATTGTTCTTAATGTCTGATTCTATGAGGTGAGTCTGAGTGGAATAGAACTTTCAATCTGTCACTGTATAGAATGGTTCTTTCCATTGGTTGTGAATCACTAATCAAGGGAATTCTCGGCCTGTCTTAAACATTTGCTTAACCCTAACCCCCTAGGCCCTTTTTGCTAGGGACCCTCCTCGATCCTCCAGAATCCTCCAATTTTGGGATGGGGTGAAAAAAATTGGATTCTCCCTCAATCCACCGAAATCCTCCAAAATTTCTTGAAAATGTTACTTGGAGGTGTGCCTACTGCCTCAATCCTTCAAAATCCTCCGGCAATTCCTGTCATTATGTTTAGGTAGTGTGAATGGCATTCCTGATCAGTACGGTTGATTCAAAAGAAATATCGGGCTGAATTTATGCGTGACTGAGCAAAACCAACACAAGGTCTAACCCATGACCTTCACTCATGGCATCCTTCATAATCAGCCATGCACTTTTGCCATTCACCGTCAATCTTCCAAAACTGCTCTAAGGATTTTGGAGGATTGAGGGGGATTAGGGTTATTAAGACCAAATACCGGCCAAGCACAAATTAAGTACCGTTTGAATCAGAAAGTCCACACAAATTTTTTTTATTTTTTTGTTGGACAGTTTTGCTTCATAGTTCTAAAATATCCCTCTAGCCATGTTATGCTATATTCCCCTTGCAAGGCAATCATAATCAATCTCCTTATATGGATCTTGGCGTGAAAATATGCTGCGCGATGTGGTGCTCAGCCAGCCACATGATGAACTTTGACTAATATTATACTGTAGAAGGAATGGCTAACCTGTCTTAGGCTTTTATGACTATTTATTGCCTAAATCGATTCTCCTGTTTACGCAAGTCACCATTTCCTTTCTCATCCCGGTCAGAGGCAAACCTTCCCTACATTGGACATCACCAGTAAGCCACAAGAAAGTAAAAGCGTATCCTAATACAATGTATGTCAAGTTTAGCAGGGAAAGTGTTCAAGGGTTTACTCAGAAAACTTCTTTTTATTTCCAGGCCAGTCTCATAGGGTGTCAGGCGATGTCCATGTATGGAACTCATTTCGACTTGAACATTGCTGACGTCATTTGAAAGCATGTTTAATTGTCTACTTTGTACTGCAACCATCAGCATCACTTTAACAAGTTTAGAAATTTCCTTGTAACCGTGCTTGTTATTGATAAGTAGTGTTAGCCATTTTATCTGATCTGTCAAGGCTGTGTTACGGTTCCATCAGTAAAAGGACCCTATGCATCACATTAATATTTGGTTGAAAGGTTAAATCCAAAGTGACCATCTAATGAGGTGACCAGCTAAACTTTAGTCTGCTGGGTCAAACACAAGGAGGGATGTTGGGCGTTCACTGCAACAGCATTGTAATGATGGAATAAAAGCTTGAAACGGCAAGGTGTGAATCTGTACTTCCTTGTACGCTTATTTCTTAGCCATCATGGACTACTGGACTTCTGTTGAACGATTCCAAATCCTTATCACTTCCAATGCCAGTCCAATCATTACATCAGCTTGGCCAAGTTCCAAAAGTCCCAAACTGCAACTCGTTGAAATTGTATTAGTTCAGCAGCCATGCTTAACAGATTCTATTTGAATTCACAGGTTGAAAAGTTTCCGAAAATTAGTCTGTGAAAATTAATTTCCATCCCGTGCCCTTTTCCTTCTAAGGAAATGGCCCTAGGTCAAGAAAAAGCATTTTTTTTCACTGACTTCCTTTTTTAAGGTGCCTGCCCTTCATAACAACAGATTCCCTCAAAATCTGTTCTTACAAGATTAAAAGGGAAAAAAATCCAAAAATGCACAAGTAAAATCATTAAGTCAGTTCCCTTAGAAGAGGCATGTTCATGTGTACAGTACCATATTTGTTATCCAGCGGTAGACATCATGTAAACTAATGCACAAAGCCATCTGTCAATATCCAGTGCTTGGTTTTGCTTCTTTGCCAGAAGTGAACCGTCCAGGTTCCAGCACACCAACCTGTCACCCAACTGTCTCTATGACCAAAAAAAAAAGGAAGGAAGCCGGTTCTTGTTTAAAGGAACACCTCAGGATCCCTGGTAATTCCTTTATCCTGTTCATAAATTTTTTTCCCTCTCTTTTTTTAACCGGGTAGTGTTCATGGACCTAGCATTGATCAAAGCAGGGTGAACCTTCCCCTCCCCCCAGCAAAGAATATGCTAATGCTCAGTGTAAAGGCTCGTTACTTAATACTTCAAATGTCAGAGGCGCGGCACCTTATTCTTTGGTTGCCATCCAGGGAGTGGCATTTCTGGGTATAACCTCTTTTTACGTACATGTGTTTTCTTGTGAGGTTCCGCTCTTTATCACTGTTGGATTTTTTTTCCCCCAGAAAGTCTGAAATTAAAACATAATGTTCTACTGCTGTGCACTGTATACAAGTTGTCTTGAAACTTTTTAAAGTATTTGTTATAGATTAATGCCCTGAAGTGTGTCGATTCAAACTTAATAAGTTTGCATCTATTGTGTTTTTGTGGCATGTTGCGTGTTGATCCCTGTCTTCCCTTTGTCAGACAGCTTACTAATACTATGGTACTTGAAAGATGAAAATTTTCAACCCTGAATTGCTTCTCAGACATTTAAATTGCTTGGTTGATTTTGTATAGGTGGTACTTTATCATCATTGAATTAGTTGCTGATGGATTACTTTAAATTGGAGGAAAGGCTTTCGTCAGACCTGGCATTGTCTGATGCCTTCATTTCAAATGTTTAACGAAGTGTTGAATATTTCCTTATCTCGAACACACATGGATGTGCGCATAAAATTGTAACAGTGAAATTGTGAGGATTGAAGACATGCCTTTGTAGGCCATTTGAACTTCCTTTGAAATTCTGAAGTAACCTTCCATAGAATATACAGCCCTTTGTAAATATACATGGTAGGCTCATTACATTTACATGTAGGCCTATAGTGTACCCTACATCAACATGTAGCTTTATGTACTGGTACACTGTACACTACATTTATGTGGACAAGGAAGTTGGTTGTATTTATAAATGAACAAAAGGCTCAGTAAGTGTGCTTGGAAGATTACAAGGCTAACAATGTATAGTGGATCATAATAGCACTTTACATATTGCATTTGTGAAATGCAGAAACATGTACGTATGCATACCAGGCAGTAGGTCCTTGATTATGAAAACATTGTATTTGTGCTACATGTAATGTAACGAGGTGTGGTTTCTGGGATTGAAATCTTGACTGTAAAGCTTAACATATAATGTCAGGTTATTCTAGTCATGAAGAAGTTCACAGCAAATTTTTTCAGGTTTAATTAATTTGAGTCCTGTGTAACATGCATCGTTTTTGGACAGATCTTGTGCAAACTGAAAATCTTGGCTTGTGTTTGTAAATCCAAATACAGCTTGATCCTTATCCAATAAGGGAAACTTCAGATAAGCCATTGCAGTGTTACCCTGCAGCAAACAATGACTTTGTGCTATATAACCATTTTGGCTTAAAATCAAATGCCACCCAGCTTTTCAATCGGTAACTAAAAGTGAACAGATATTCAAAATGCTATCAGTGCAAAAGATTTGTGCTGTTTTGCACCCTTATACTTTGTGAAAACCCTAGCGGTACTTGCAGACCCTGCTATGCAATCTATACCCCTTCCCCATGCTGTAAGTTGGGTTCTTCCTCTGCACCTTGCTCGCAAGAACTGCCGCCAAGTTTACATCTTGCCAGAACCAGCAGCTAGAAGATTAAGGCTTTTGGTTTCTTCCAAACCAGCCCACCCAAACAGAAATCGCCATCCATCAGAATACATGTACATTGTATATGCTTTTGTTGCATCATGATGGCCTACCACAGCCGTACATTTGTACATGTATCTCAGGACTGGCCCTTCTTTTTGTGTGCCCTCCTCCCACAAGAAACCAAGCCTTGATTTCACCAGGCCCAGGACAGGATCACAGGACCCAAGTCAAGGAAGCTACCAGTACTATTGCCAGACCACAACAATCAGACAAAATACCTCGGTGAAGAATCACTTTGTAATTTTCTCCAAATCCCTCAGGTCCATTGTATTGACTTGGGGCATGCGGCACGAACTCCATTGAAAACAAACCCTGAGCTGCCTGCGTAATAGGAAATGTTCACAATTGATGTGTGATGGCATGGACTTCCTGGTAGTTACACAGTGATAACAAGCCTCTCGGCATACGTGCATACATGTAGTGGACAAAACTAAGTTACACTGCTTTCCCTTCATTGTCTTTCAGTTTTATGAGTAGCTCACCTTCCATCTCAGCATAAAAGCATTTCAGGAGCATGAATTTTAGAAAATATTGTTTTATCAAGTAAATAATGAGTACAGAATTTTGCAATTCGTTTAATAATCCTTAGTCTTCCAGGACCTCTCAAAAGAAAATCAGTAGAATTTTGTAGAATTCGCATACATACATGTACAAGTAACATACATGCTTATGCTGTACATGTAAGTAGGAAAGTCGGGCCCAGCCACCGTTGCTCAGTGTTGGCAATATCCAATGAACCAGTGGAGTGGACTGAGACCGCTGATTTAACAAGCCCAACAGTCTGGTGCTTTGTATGTATACAGTATATGTAGTTATCCTGGATTTCTGCTGAAACTTTAGTAAGTTGACACAGGTATACTCCATCTTTTCATTTATTCCTGCACCCATCTTGCTTAATTTTCTCAGTTACTTGTACAGTGTACATAATTTTCAAGACAGTACTTACATGTACATGTACGTACATGTACATGTACGTACATGTACATGTACGTACATGTATGTACATGTACGTACATGTATGTACATGTACGTACCGGTACATGTACATATTCAACAAAGCAGTTTCATGTAGTTTATTTACATTCACTATTTATTTCTTCTTGATTACCCTGGGTTAAATCGGTTCAGCATTTGCTGCTTTCCACTGATACAGAGTAAAAAAGTAAACGGTAAACAGTGTCATTTATAAAAAACAGAATTAGAACAGTTAAAATTACAGAGTGGGTATGAAAACACATCAAAAAACAGGGATGAAACACTCAACAAAAAGTATACATCAAATGTACAAAGTTACACCTACAGAATAACATTTACATGTATAGACAAACACCCATGTCTGTACGCACTGATAAAACAAGCCAAGAACTCATTATAAAATGTTCTGAGAAAAAATATATCTACGAATAAAAAGAGCTGCCTCATTATATCATACAGTATAATCTTGCCCATGTCTTGATATGAGGAGGCATGAATGATTGGAATTAAAATTTGTAAATCTGATATTCCCCCCAAAAGATTTTATATTATGTCAGTTTCTGAGAGATGTTGGCAGGCTGTTCCAAAGCAGAGCACCTCTATAGCAAAACATGTTTTGACATTTGTTGAGATTAATGTTCATCAATTGGACATTCCCATGAGACTTGGCTCTTGCGTTATGAGAGAGTGTTATGTACTGAGAAGGGGTAAGGTGTTGATACATGTACATTCATAAACCAAAATGGCTAAGCGGCACTCTCTATTTTTCTCCTGTGTGATCCATCACAAGCTGTCCAACATGGTATCAATATGGGTTCCGTCAGGAGCAAAAAGTACTGCTCTGACAGCTCTGTTTTGCAGTTTCTGAAGTTGATTTTCCAGACCACAAACGGGGCTACCCAAGACCATACGGGGTATCTCAATAATCAAAGTGTGGCTGAATAAGAGCGTTATATAATGACTGAAGACTCTGATCATTTATATAGTAACACTCTGTACAGGAGAAATACTTAACCTGAAACTTTGCTGGTCAGTTTACCCACATGGACTGTCCAGTCTAGACTAGAATCAAGGCAAACGTCCAATATTTAAAGCATTCCATAGAAACAGTCTCAAGTTCTTCACTGTCTACAATTTTTCTGGGTACTTCAAAGTTACTCAGTTTCTGTCTTGTTCCCATGAACATTGAGTTAGTCTTGCTTAGGTTCAGAGTCAATTTGTTCTCTTTCACCCATTGAGTGACATTATAGACATGTCATCATGGAGGGCCTTTCCAATGCCAGTAGAGCTATTTGAGGCCAAAAAATAAGGCAGTATCCTTGGCATATATTACAAGGTTGTACAACCTGAGGCAGATCATTGACATAGATAACAAATAAGAGGGGCGAGTATGGACCCTTGCGGGAACTCCACAAGTTGATGGTCTGAGACTCTGACAAGTGACATGGTTCCATTGATGCACCAAATGTGCTCCTTTCCAGTCAAATTTAGGAAGTACTGGCCCCCAGTCCAGTTGTGTTTTTTTTTGGTTTTGGGTGTTTTTTTTCATGTAATTCTACCCCTGATCACTGTACTTTAGTCTGGATACTCCTCTGATATTGGAGTACACAGAGCATGCCTGTGGGTTACGACACAGCAGCCAGGATTTTGAAGATGATAAGGAAGATTGCTGTCAAATTATCAGGGGAGTTGGGACGATGGCAAATTGGATGAATGCAACTCTACCCAGAATGGTTCTCACGAAGATAAATTTAGCCCATAAATTCTGCCAGAAAGCACTTTGGATCAAGTATCTTTTTCAATATCAGTGTCAGCAAAACAGCCCTAAATCCAGTTTTGCAGGCAAGATCACTATTCTGTCACTGCAGGAAATAAACAGTGCCAAAAAATCAACAAATAAGTCATAAACTTAAAATAGAAATGTCCAATATGAGTGCTCGGGTTTCTGGACTGTTTCCCTCTTCAAGAGACAAAACCTAACCTAGGATCATTGTATCTAAATTGATCAAGAGTAAACTGCAGGGCTGTGGCTTGATTCCCATGGGATCCAAGGGTGATTGCAAGAGGGCATTATTTGGTCCCTTCCAAGGCTTACTGCATGGGGGCTGTGATCTCCCAGTGCATGTGGAGACTGTCTAGGGCAGAGGTCAAGGCAGGTTATTTTCAGAGGGGGGGGGAATGTTAGAACCACAGGGAGCTTGATCAATCTGGTTGTCACATGGTCAGGGGTCTGGTATGTAGTGTGTGTTGCTTTTTTAAAAATACTGTATCCATGACGCCTGTGTTGTTGTTTTTTCTTACCTCCTGCCAACTTTACAGTGGCGCATGCTTTTTAAGAACTTGACGGACATCTTTAGGTGTTTAGTCATGGAAACTGGAACTGCACGGCATAGAAAGCTTGTTGATTGATAAACTTGAGTCCACTGGTGCCTACTAATATTGTTGCAGGTCTAATTTTTACGAATTCCAAATTAATGTGGTGTTATTGCCGAAACCTGTAGATTTACCGGGATGTAATTAATTGTTTTTGTTTCCTGTTTCTTAAACAGCCACAGAGCAGTCGGTGTTGATGATCATCAGCCTAATGAAGGGTTTTCAAAATGGATTAGGGAGAGAGAACTCACGAAGCTTGGATGAAATTAAAACCTGCTGAACAAAATAAGGCAACCGTTCAAGTTTCTCTCATCAGTTTTCTGGAAGGAGAAGAAAAAAGTTATAAGCTGGTATCGGTGCTAACTGTGTTAGCCTACGATTTCTGTATTTTGAGCCTGAACTCTTGACATGGGATGCTACTCGTTAGCAGCATCAGAGCCTCCGGTTGTCAGGCTTGTATGACAGGATTGCAGTAGGAGCAGCCCCATGAGAGAACCTCCCCTCCTTCCCCCAGCCGAGATAGGATGGAAGAAGGCCATGCGTACGACTGGTCGCAAAGATTACTGTCTCCTGGAAGATTTTCTGGTCTGCCCGACGTTCAGAATTAATGCCCATTTAGGCCGAGGACCCTTGTAAACAGGATCAAGAAAAGGGGCAGAATTATTACTGTCAAAAACAGTTTGAGCGTGCTTCATTTGCAATGGGGATGTAGTCCGTGCTGGTATGGCCGGTGGCACGCTAGTTGAACGTTTGACATTATAATTGAAGAAGAAAAATCAAGGGGGGAAACGCCTCTTTATGATGTGATTTTTTGGGACTGCTGTGTGTCAGCAGAGATTTTGCTGGGATAGGCATCAACTGAAGTCTTCTGTATTGGGCTGTTGCTGAGGTTTTCTGTCGACTTCAGGACTCCTGAGACTTTTTTTTTTCTGCCATGATGAATGGAATGAGCAAGCGGTATGCGGAGAACACCCCTCCCCAGGACCCCATCACGGTGCGCTACTACCACGGCCGGATCACGCGGGAGGAGGCGGAGGCACGGCTGCGCTGCCAGGGTGGGGTGCAGGGTGACTTCCTGCTGCGGGACAGCCTGGGCAAGGAGGGCCACTATGCCATCTCACTCTGCTTCGACGGCAATATCTACCACTACGCCATTGAGCGCCAGCACGACGGTGGGGTGGCCATCAAGGACGGCAACCGCTTCCCGGGCCCCGTGGAGCTGGTGCAGCACCACGAGAGGAAGCTGGACGGCCTGCTGTGCCTGCTGCAGCGGCCCTGCTGCCTTCCTGAGGGTCAGAAACCCCGGGCCTATGGGGACCTCTCCCACGAAGAAATGGAGAACGAGATTGCCCTGGTGGCCCAGAACCAGGGCCTATCTGTAAGTTGTCTTGCACCTTAGTTCCTTCAACAGTTCTTTCCTGAATCCTCTAAAATTCAGGGCTTTCACTCTGAATTCTGAAAACAATACATGACCTCACTTGCACTGACAATGTTACTGATTGGGTGCTGTATTATAACAGTTTTGTGTAGAGAGCCTTCATCAAAGGGCTTACATGTACAGGTATGGTAGGTGTCTTGCAGAAGTTGAATCTGTAGTATGCATATAATAGATGAGTTGCAACCAAAACAACTCTAGTCGTGATGCCCTGCGGGCCTTTGTCACGCAACTGTTGCCAAAATATTGAGGGAAGAACTCTTTATTCCTAGGAGTGAACATGCCTGACGGTTTTGAGCAGTAAAATGGTATTTGATCACACATACATGTACACATGCAAAAGTATGGGTGTTAGCTTAAACAAAACACCAGGTCCAAATGTTGTCACATGGCACTGCATCCTCTGTGTGCTTGGTATGATTGTGCAATGATTGACCGCTACGTTGTGACATAGAGTGATCCAACCAGGTCCGAATGTTGTCACTAGTCACTGCATGATCTTAGTGTACACTATACCATTGACCGCTGCATTGTGCTGGTAAGTGATCCAGCAATAAGAATTAGAAGCCATACTGCAGGGCCATCCCTTTGGCCTGCAGACTGGTGCATTATAAAGTCCTCTCGGACCAGTTAGGTTGTTTTGCTTTTTTTTCACACGACATGTTGACAACTTGACAGTTCCTTGCCGAGGGAACCGCTGTGAGTCATGTTTGAAGACATGACTCAAACCAAGCTCGATGACTGTCTGGCTGGATGATACTGAGTTGATGAACTCTCCAACGATGGGTACAAGTGTCAGTACATGTACATACATGCACCTGGTGCCATTCATGTGGCATGTGGCTGGGAAATAATTTTTTGTTTGACCTAGTCTAACTAGTTTCACTTTCAGTGTGCCTTGTTCATTTTTAATCGGAAACACGACTAATGCACAGATAAAGCTTACCCTTTTATTCGTACGTTTTGTCTCTTAAACCCTTACCAAATCTGCAGCGGTATATCAAATCTTTGATATTACCATATTTGATTGACCTGTTACATGTTTGTCGCAAATCTCACACAATCTGGCCAATCACAAGGCTTGTTCTAGCAGCCTGCAACGGCTTGTATGGGTGTTTCCATGTTAGGGGACCCGTGCTTTTCTTAAATGTTGCAGCATATGGAGCAAAACACTAACAACAAATTTCAAATTTCAAAATTTGATTGGCTGTGCAAAAAACACCTGACTACAGAAATAAACTGCACGTAGAAGTTCTAAAATACATTTGTCCAATCCATTGCAATTCAGTTTTAACTGCGAAAATGGATGGAAATAAACCAATATAATAATAATAACGATAGTACCAATGGGATTTAAAATTTGGCATTGCCAAATTGAGGTACATGTATTTAAAGTTGAAGTTGGACAAAAATTGCTGTAGCAGGAGGGATACTTCTACATGTACTGTACATGTAGGTCACAATGGCCAAGTGGTAATACTCGAGACATATTCCAGAAATCGGGGTCCAAAAGTGTAACATTTTTGTGTGCCTGTTACAACTGACCGTTGTTATTTGACATGGAAATATCACCGGAATTGATTTCAAACTAACTATTTGTTTGGCAGGTACCAAGTATGGTAATGTGCATTAATTCATGACTCTTGGAATTTAGAAACTGGGTTGTGAAATTACAAAATCATAATGTCAGATGTGACAGGGACGCACACAAAAAATGGACCCCTAATTTCTGGAATTACCCATATTCTGCTATACACTTTTGTTACATGTACAGTTTGTACATTACCTGCAGTTTTCACACTGTTTTTTATACATGTATGTATACATTAGATCATCATCTGGTTCACTCTGGTGCACATCATGTAACAAGAAAAACTGAGGGTGATAATTTTGCCTTCAAGTATTGGTACATGTACTTGAATTTCACAACAAGTCAAGGGAAAATGGTGAAATACATGCACTTGACTGTATACTTTCACGTTACGAAAGCAGCTGTCAACTTTATACTCTGTACTGGTACATTGCAGGAATCTGTGTTCAACAGAAACTTATAGACACACATGAACTACATGTACATGTACACTTACATACATGTACATGTATGTGTACCGTAGTTCATAAATTAGGACAAAAAATTTGCCTGAGATGCAAATTTACCCCGGGACCGTGAACTATAAAGGCTCCAAATACATACATGTACATGTACATTTTTGGTGTAATCTGACATGTACATGTATAAGTGGTGAAGAAGATTTGATGTACCGTTACAGGAAAATGTACAGTATGATGTGGATTATTAAGTTGAAAACCCAAGGCAAACACATCGCGTTTGATTTATATGTACATGTACTTCCCTCTCATCGCGCTTGCCAGTGGTTTTGTCTCAGGTGTAGATGGGCATGCGCAGTTCTAGGCAATAAACAAATTATCTCAGGTTATTCTAGGTGCCCCGGCTGGGTCAAGACGCCATGCAGAGATTAAGTTTGCAACACAAATTTGGACTGTTCAGTACAAAGGACATCCACATTCACATATAGTAGGCCTACAGTGGCCTGTATCCCACGAAACTTACATGTACATGTAGTTGACTCGGGCCAGTTTTCCTCTGCATGTACAAGGGTTAACCACTTTCCATGGCATTATTTGACTACGCTACCATGTTTTTGCATTGCACCATGGGATACACGTACGGCACTTCCCCAAATAACTGACTCAGTGGGTCGGTTACTCAGTTGGTCCAGGCCCGAGTAAGTGAGAACCGTCACATGAGTGTCAACTTGAATACAGTTTGCGCTTGCGCGAGTAAGGATACCTGTAGGGGAACTAGTGTTCTCTTATTCCAAGATGCTGTTTTGAAAATAATTGAGTCAGTAAGTCACACTTGAGTGACAGTTATAATTTAGGGAAGGATTTTTGGAATAGGTCCATTAATTTTTTGCATTGTACCTGTGCATCTGTGTCTGTACCTGTGCATCTGTAGGCTTTTTAATTCTAAAGTCCAAAGTTCAATGACTGATGCAATTATTCATGTTTGCTTTTAAGTAGCAGGGAGACATGTGTACATGTACTGTTACTTTGCAGGATATATTTGATGATCGAAAATGCATGTGTATCCTCTCAGTACATGTAGTTCGCACATTCTCAAATCTGATAAAACTTCATCGCTGGAGCACTGTGCATCAAGTCTCAAGAAAACAGGGTCAATAACCAGTTGACTTGGAACCCAACGCATGTGAACAATATTTATTCTGGCGGTGCATTTTGATGACTGAAAAAAGATGATATTCTCCCGATTGAAACTAAAAGTGTAACTTAACATGTGATTCTTTGGGAAAGCGCCATGACCAGAAGATTCTGTTTCAGATGTGGTGTGCATGTACAAGTGTGCTTGTTATGTGTATGAAAAACACGACCATACAAAGGGTTCACTGTTTCCCTCTGGCAGATGGGATATTTTACATGTCAGGGAACAAGTACAGAACTCTGCTTGTTATTACATTTGTTTTGACAAGTGGACACTTTTACTCCAAAATGGAAATACAGAAATGATTCTGTTATTGACTTCAGTATTATTAATCATAATTCACTATGAAGTGCTTCAGAAAGTGAAAGTGGAAATCAAAGGAACTGCCACTACCTATTAACTTCACCACAAGTCTGGAAAAGACATTTTCTCGCTAACAAAGTACATGTACATGTAATTGTAAACTCGGTTACAGAATGGCACATTTTCAACTTTTGCTTGGACTTGCCAGATTGTGGTACATATACGCGTATACACATGCATTGCAATCACACTGTGCATATGAGTTTACTGTACACAGTACAGTTTACCCTGATCTGAGCCAACCAAACCAGGCTGTCCAAAGGTGGAACACATAACAGCCAGCCAGTAGTTATTGGTTTATCAAAGCTGGAAATGTTTACACATCGTTTAAACATGTACAATGCACATGTACATGTACCTTGCAGCAGCTTGTAACATCTGTTCACTGGAACAGAAATTAAGATCAGATCAGAATGGTGTTTAACGTGCCATCACTGACAATACGTACATGTACCGTACAATATGATATTCTTTTGATTTCCACAAACTCATGTACATACAAACTCATGTAGGCGCTGTACACATGTACCGTTATGCTACATGAAGTGAAATCTGTTCTAAATGAATAAGCCTTTTGCAAGTTAGATTTGAGTTGAATCTGGTACGCTGAGTTATATCTGATTGCATATAAACATCTACAAATTGAATGCCCTAGACTCAAGACACTGTTGCTACAAACATACACGTGCACTTTGTAATTTGGGGCAAGCTTTTGCATTTGGACCACCATCTCTGGAATGGACTGGTCCTTTGTGCCTGTCCTATCCACTGAAAACAGTGTCTAGGTGTAAGGCATCTCTTAAGTAGCTAAGCCAAAGCCTGCCCCGAATCACGAGGTATAGCAACAGTATGGAGAATTCAAATTGAACATGTTCACATGAATTCAAATTTACCTCACCAAAGGCTTAATGTACCAGTCAACTGGTTTTGCATATCTACAAGCCCACATCATGCATTCACGTCATACGTGTACCTTCTAGACTAAAGGGTTTCTCCATACTGTGCTTTTGCCTTATGTACATGCACCGGTACAAATACATGTGTGTCAGATTGTGAAAACTGAAAGAATTCTTTGTACTCAAGAAATGTGCACACATACATGTAGCTCTCGTGCATGAAGTCATAAAAACAGTGGTAACGGGTATACCGGTAGCTTGATATTCTGTTCACATAAATTCCACATTGGGTAGAGCTTGTAAGATTTGTGTACATTTTCAACTGAATGTGCACAGTCGTAATCCACGTGTTGGTGCCAGGAGCAAGCCCAAACAAAGTTCATGTACCAGATCTGTTTGCCACCATTGAGGTGGACGCTTGTGCAAATACATGTACATGTAGTCTGCTGGGCTTTACCAGGGACTGGTCAACACTAATATTATGCAGAAACCTCGGGGAATATACCTGTACATCTATGTATATCAGCCCCAGCCCCACAGAATGACCATGGATTTTTTTTCTGCATTATAGAAAGATACCATCCAGAAAGCCATAGCCTCCAACAGATCTCAGTTTGACAGACTAGTCAAGAGCATTCTCCACCAGGAACGGCCATGGTTTCATGGTCAGCTGACCCGTGCTGAGGCCGAGCAGCGGATCATCACATCAGGCCTCCAAGAAGGCAAATTCCTGTGAGTAAATGTTTTAGCTACTGCCCCAGTCATCTCTGATACAGAACAGCATCTGGAGTAGGCCTGTCTAAATAATGCAGCTACACTGTAGGCCCAGAAATGCCATAGCATGCGTGCCTATAGACCTCTATCATTATGCAGCCTTCTTGCTTTTTTTTGCCATTCAAAGCAGTGTAAACTGAGGCTGGAAGGAAAAGTAGTCTGTTCCCTTTCATCAGTATGTGAGGTTGTACATGTATTATTGCCAGTGGGTCTACAGGAACAAGACAAACATGGCGGCATCATGATAAAGGTCCGTTGAAGTCACCAACCAGTGGCTTCATGAATTTCCCCCAGACATCTGTCCTGTTCCAGCTGTGGTCAAGTAACATGGATATAGGCTTACTTGGCTGTGGTCGAATATCACAGCCACGCTCTCGTGGAAACCACCGCCTAGCAGCCTACAGGCATTTCCCATAGTCAAGTGTGATAACTAGCGGCTGTAGCCAATCAGTTCTGATACGCCTCAACAGCCGGAGAATAGCAAGGCCTAGTGACCTTGTATGCAGGGTCGACGGTATCTGTGCTCGGTAGGAACACTCCTGTAATCTGATCTGTTCAGGAAACCTATAATCACAGCACAGGTTTACGTATGTGAAGACCTCATCCACTTATGTAGATCCTGGTCCTGACTGCGTCATCTGAGTCTTGTGTCAGGTGAACTTGACCTAAATTGTATTTTTTTTACATTTTTGATATATTTATCAATATGAAATAACGACATGTACATGTACACAGAACAGTGTTGTAGTTGAGACCACTTAAGACCTTTACAAGACCACTTAAGACCTTTACAAGACCACTTAAGACCTTTACAAGACCACTTAAGACCTTTACAAGACCACTTAAGACCTTTACAAGACCACTTAAGACCTTTACAAGACCAGCACAAGACCCAGTATGAATTCAAGTCACAAGCTATCAACTGAACTGCAATGAAAGCATTCCTTTGTCATTTTTCACATTGTTACCTGTGACTGGTCTTGTGACTGGTCTTGTGTCTGGTCTTGTGTCTGGTCTTGTGACGGTCTTGTGACTGGCCTTGTGACTGGTCTTGTGTCTGGTCTTGTGTCTGGTCTTGTGTCTGGTCTTGTGATGGTCTCGACTACAACACTGATACAGAAGTCAAAGCTAGCTTGCGATAGGAGCATATGGTTAGTGGTCAAACGATACTAAATATCACAAGAATGACTAGGAGGATAAATATGTGCTTGGCCAGTCTTAAAAGTGCATTTTAGACTGGCTCAGGAGAATGGACATGACCTCAGTGCCCGAGCTGCAGGCGTTAAGACTGGCCAAGCGCATATTTATTCCCGTTCATAAATACCGTTTAAGTCAGAGTCAAAAGAAGTCAACATTCCAAGAGTTCAAGAGTTTTGTTCAAGAATTTTACTTTCATTTTCCTGAACTCCCCTGTCCATTTTATGATATATTCCTTGTGCAAGTTGTCCAGAAAGATCTCCAAATGTGGACTTAACATGCGCGTCAGGAGTTCTGCATACCACGGTGCACACAGACTCTTGACCAATAGGAGTCTCGTATCCAGGTGCCAGCACATTTTTGCACAGCGTTCATTATCAAAGTGCAGCCAGCATTATTAAATGTTAATTAATAGAGGGTTGTGTTGTGCATTGTTGAATAGGGAAACTGTCTGAGGTGTTTACATGTACATGTGTGTGAATAGTTATTGATCATTATGCCATAATCACATTGTTTTAATTACTTCAGCTCATAATGCCGATGAAGCATTAAGAAAAGCATGTCAGCTTTGTGGAATGTTGCGAAATATACAAAAAATTAGAATGCATGATTAATACATGTACATGTATGTACATGTACATTAGTATACGTGCATGAGATCGGTGTAATTGATAAGATCCTTGGAGTATGCGATGGAGTAATGCTTCCTAAACTGGACTGCTCACTGTGGCTTGTTTCCAGGAAATAACCATTTCCCTGTTTATTCCGAGTGTTGACCGCAAGAGAGCTTGAAGGGTCACGCACTCCCTACATTACATCAGTTTACCCACGTTCCCTTGCTGGAAGTCTCTTCCTGTATGTATATGCTGGTCTGCATAAAAATGACTTCTTCACATACTCCTTATTGACAAGGCTAGACAAAAATATACTTGTGTTTCTGAGTACCCAACCCAACCTGGAAAATCACACAAAACCTGTATGTTTTATTCAAAAAAATTAATGAAAAACCTAAAAATGTAGTGCCAATCGCAGTGCAGTATTCTTGTATGTATCATCCTATACCTGCAGGTTTCTGTTTATTTTATTTTCTCCGCCTGGTTGGCTCCAAAAAAGTGGCTTGCTCTCACGTGTTTAGGTGTATGCGCTCACAGCCATCTGCTATCTAAATTCAAACATTCATGGGGCCTTTTACCTGTTATTACGTAGCAAGGTTTCATCTAGGGTGAAGATATTTACCTGTCCTTTCCCAGACAATGTTAAAAACTGGGGGTCCATTTCCAGCAAAATTGGTGGAACTGTTTATAGCCCATTGTGCTACCTGAGCCTGTACATGTACATGTATGTGCATTAATGCAGTGCTTTGTGCGGAAGTTAAAAGATTCATCCACCAGTGTTGAAGATTCATGTGATAAAGGAAGATTTGTAAAGTTGGTGCAATATAAGCATCCTTTAGACAGGTTGCTTAGTTACATAAGAGACACCTTGCAACAATACGCTTTTCTCAACGGATAAGAACGGTGCAAAGGAACCAGTCCATTCCAGAGATTGTGGTCGCTATGCAAAAGCTTGCCCCGAATCACGAGGTATAGCAACAGTGTCTTTAGTCTGGGGAATTCAAATTTTACGTTTCTGTGCAATCGGATAACACGGTGTACCAGATTTTATTCAAATTCAACTCGCAAGTGGCTTATTGGCTCGGACGAATGACAAACCCTTTTTTCCCTTCCACGTAGCAATACGTTGTTGCAGTTATGTTGACCACAGTGCAGTTTTTTGGTACAAAATTGAAAGAAACAAGCGAGGAAACCAACCAACAAGCAGAAAAGCCACAGAAACGGTTATTGAGAAGGTGTTTGATTCCTTAAGTACCAACGAAATGGTGTGATCACTGCATGCCATTTTTTGTCAGTGTAACCCGGTCTCGGCCAAATGTTTAAAGTGAATGGTATTTTGCATTGAGCATACTCATACAACTAGAGGCGGAGTCCTTTATTTCCTGTCTGATTTTTTTTCCCTTTTCCTCATAGGGCCAGAGAGAGAAATGAGCCGGGCAGCTTTGCCCTAACGCTGTGCTACAACAACTCGGTCTACCACTACAAAATCGACAAGGATTGCACAGGCCAGCTCTCCATCAAAGATGGGCCAAAATTTGACAGCCTTTTACAGGTAAAAATTCAGGCAGAAACTGGGTCACATTGGTTCTGGTAGGTTTGGTTGTTTCCATTCTTCAGTTGTCCTTTTTGGGGTTGCATTTGTGAGATTTTGGTTTATTTTGAGATGGTTTGGTAATTTTACCAGTTCATTTTTTGCGTAATTTGCTTTTGATTAAGCTGTGACAGATTCCTTAGTGGTAAAATTTTCTCAGGCATAAAATTTTAATCGGAGTAGTGAATTTTTCTTTTTGGAAGACGCACACTGTAAGACACAGTTGTCACCAGAAGCATATCTTGAAAATATTTCTGACTCAACTTTGAAGTGTCTTCAGAATCTTTCAGGGCATAATTGGATCATCCTAAGCAAATTATAAACTTGTTTTTCACAAGTCACGCAGACCAACCAAAGTAATTTTGTAGCTCAGGAGGGCACCTAAAAATCTGTGCACGCCGGTCCCCTGTTCACCCGGGGGACACCCGAATTATATGTGTGGTCACAGGCTTAGTGGCCGCGGGTTTTCAGTGTAACCATATTCAGTCTGTTCTATATCTGATGTGTGCTTTTTCAGTAAGCCCGTGGTATGTTCCATCGGCATTGGGAAAAAAATTTAAAAAACAGTTGTTTAATGATGTGGTTTTCCGGGTTGGTTTTTGTCGTAGATGGTCGACCACTACACACTGAAGAAAGATGGTTTGTTGTGTTGCCTGATGGTACCCTGCATTGACCCACAGAAGAGAAGGCATTCCGGTGAGTCATACGATGTTGTACCCTGAACTTTCTGCTGTAACATGTTGCTGTCACCTCGTTCGACACCGCTACCCAATATATTGTCTGTAGGATGTGGTTTATCGCATAGAGTTAAATCATCTTGTGTGGTTAGTTACATGACGTCATAAACTACGCTGCTTGGTCCATTTCTCCCAAGCCTGTCAACATTTGGTGTTGTGAGCTGAGCATAGAGCTTACTAGAGGAGATGAGAAACTGGACACCCAGAAGTGGAATACATGTTCTTTTGTTTGTCTCTCTTAGCTGGTCCTGCAGCCTCCGCATCTCAAAACTACAGGCGAGTGCAGTCGAATGATGAGGAGTCAATGCCGGCCCGGTCTCCGCCAGCCCCACCCCAGCCTAGACGGGTAAGACAGACCTAGGCCTCGCCAAGGGCCCTCGGAATCTGATTATTTCACCACTTGCAGATGGTATTGGGGGTGGGGGAGAAAAATTCTACTTTTGGAAAATGAAACTTTTGTTGCATAGCCAAATGCCTAAAATACGGCTTCGCAAGAGTCATGTCAACATTATTGGTACCTGTTTGTACTTGTGCTTTTGTACCTCTATTCTCTCCACACTCTGGGGTGTGCCCACAGAATGATATTTGTTATCACAACAGATTGTGCACAGTGGCTAAGATTTAAGTTCAAGGTGCACTCAATCAATCAATCAATCAATCAATCAATCAATCAATCAATCAATCAATCAATCAATCAATCAATCCAAGTTTCAATCCACCTGCCTCAGGCGTGAAGTGGTTATACACTCTGTCAACTTTGTTTCCAGGCTTCTTAGTATCAGCAAGGCGGTCAACGATATGTGGCATTAACTGGCTGTTTATTGGTGCGTTTTGGTTTTCCCCCCAGGGCAACACCCAGTCAGCTGAGGAGACCACCCTGGCGTCATTTATGCCACCCCCACTGAAGCCACACGTCCCATACCACCCCTCCCATCCTGTGCATCCACCCCACATGCCACGCCAGAGACCCATGATAGAACAGATAGTCAATGGGAAGTGGGAGGAACCAGATCACCATGGTAGCAACATAGTTTCATTTTTTTTTAATTCACATTTGATTTAACCTCAATAGTTTTTCCCATTTTGTTATTCTAAATTGATGGCTTTATGACTATTGCCCATGTCACACATCGAATACTGTGAGTTTACTTCTGTCAGTTATTTTGATCAGCAATTTTCTTTAAAATGTTGATGGAGCGTGAGACGCTGTTTGCAAGTAGAAGCTCACTCCATTTATAAAGAATGTGGGAGTCTTGACCATTCATCCCACACAAAACGATGGTGCGGTTTGTGCACATTCAGTTAAAAATTGAGCCACCTCCAAATTACTTGACTGTGGCTTTAAATCACACACGACTCCATTGGAAGCGGTTGCAGCCTTAATCATGGACTCGTGAAATTCCAAGCCACAGCTAAGTTACTAAAGACACCTCCTTGGTCTAGCTTCCTCGGCATTAACTTAGAATTGCATGCTAAACATCTAACTCTCCTTGGGTGTGTCTGAATCAACTGGCTATGGCTATGAGTAATGGCACACATCTGTTGGAAGTAGCTGCAACTGCTAGCCAATGGCCTCTGACTTACAGTTCTTGCACTGAAAGGTTCCGTCTGAAGGTTGCGACTTACTCCGCAGACAATTCAGACACAGCCATGGATCGATTCCTATTCCACATTTGGTTGATTTGTGACCGCTTAATATTTAATGTTTCTTCTTTTTCCATCTTACCAGATGAGCCGTCCCCCCAGAGGTTGTCCAGTCAAGAACCACCCGTGGTGGACGACAAGACGTACGGTGTTCCCAACGACCGAGAAATGATCTACGGTCAAGTTGCAAAGATGAGAAACACCAAGTTGCTGGACGTCAAACATCTGTACCGCGGAGAACCAATTGGTCAGTCTTTAACCCAAATACCCCCTTCTCCCTGAGGAGTTGTGAAAAATTCTATCGAAAATGTGAGAAGTTACGGCTGTTCAAAGTTAAAACTTACCGATATGAACAAAGATTCAGTTGGTAAATTCAAGGTACTTAATGAAAAACATTTGTCCCCTGCAGTGCAGTTGGTTGGAATTGTAATACATGCCTGTGGAAGTTCATCCCTTCAAGTTGATTTTTTTCCTTTTCATGTCAACGTACATGAAATAATGTACATGTTTGCATGTAACTGACTCATTGTTGACAGCTGAAAATGTAAGAACTCGGGGGTCTCTAGGGTTTCAACTGAGGAAGCTCTGTCTAGTCCTAGTCCCAGCATTTTTAAATGGCAGGTGTTTTTATACAGTAGTCCTGATTTCACCAGAATATTGAAGAACTAGGTTTAGTTTTTTTATGTGACATTTCAGAGGCAGTTGAAGTAGGTTGGATGGAGTTACGTAGGTAGCATGAATGTACATAATTTGTCATTTCAAGAAGCTTACAGTTCACCCAACAATGTAAGGAGCATTCTTGTAACAGAATACTACTATGGAAGGCAAGTTATGAAGTACTATTAGCCTCCTGAAATCTTTTCTTATTCGTTGGTTTCCACAAAGCTCTGGGCCAAATTTCATAGAGCTGCTTAAGCACAAAATTTGCTTAAGGCAAGAAACCCTCGCTCGATAAACCAGGTAACCAGCCAAAACTCGGTGTGATGTATATTGTTTGTTGGATTGTATTTAACTGTCTTTTTGTTAGCATGACAATCAGCTGGAGTTTGATCTGGTAACCTTTGTTTTTTTAAGCAAGGTTTTTTATGCTTGAGCAAATTTTGTGCTTAAGCAGCTCTATGAAATTGGCCCCTGATCATGATAAGCTAATGTTGCTACCGGTAGTCCCAACAACCTTGTTGTCATGATTGTTGACTTCTTAGAATTCGACTTTGTTTGCATCACATCGGTGATTTTCAGCCATGGTTAAATTTTCTCTAGGCAAAGGCAATTTTGGCTCAGTCTTGAAGGGCACGTACAACATGCACGGAACACACATCCCCGTGGCGATCAAGACGTTAAAAACGGAAAATGGAATTCCTAACTCCAAGGTATGCATCAATGCCCACTTAAGTCTGAAGTAAGAGATTATTTTTGACCCGGCAGTCCAGTGGGGGGGAGCATTTGTCAGGAACCACACGTCGGCTGTGAGGATCCCAGATGAAATCTGACAGGATCTGGGCTGTCATGGTGTTAAATTTTCCATTTTTCATGTTCATGTCATGCTGCATTTGAGGAGACGTGGATTAGATTTACCACGATTCAACTGAAGCGAAACTGAAACTGAAAGATTGCACAATATGTTATTGGATTGTTTTTAAGCAAAAGTTGTTCCCTAAGTAATCTGGAACGCGGCCCACATTTGATTGGTACAAAAGCTGGAATGGATCCATGACCTGGGTTATTTCGACCTTAGTTTTTGGCCTCAGGCCAGATGATGATAAAAAGGGATGCTGGGGTTCACCAGCACAGGTCATGAATGGAAGGCTGTGGAGCTTGGTACAAGTCATTGTATGCTAACTGTGACTTGTTGTTCTGCCATGTGTTTGACAATCCTGTACTTAACCGTAATGATGCTAAATGCAACAGTATTCCAACAGTGGTTATTTCCTTTTGGTCTTTGTTGATTTGATGATAACTGAGGAAAGGAACCTTTTCCCCCAGTCGTTTGTAATCTTTTTTTAATTTAACAGGTTGCATGCCTTTAACTGTATTTTTTCATTTGGCAGTCTGCCAAGAGATGTGGGTTGATGTTATACAAAAGTTTGTTGAATCTTCCAGAGCCAAGATTCAAATCAAATTCTTCATTCTAGCATCATGTTAACTCTTGATTTTCTAATAAAGTAACACTTCTCTTCGGAAGTGGATTATTTTTGTTACATGTGCATGTATTTTTGAAGCCAAATCCAAATTGTCATCACTATTTTGAACTGTCATCATGTTTTCAGCCTGAAATTGTCAAGGAGGCCGAAATCATGGCAGATTTGGATCACCAGCACATTGTCAGAATGATCGGTAAGTTGGCAGCTTTGCTGATTTAAACACTGAAGCACTGAGCACTGTGAAACAACTGAGAAACTAAGCACTTTGAAGGTGAACAACCTCCCAAGTCCTGAAGCCGTCTGATGACCGTGTGCCAGTGCCAGTCATTGTGAAGAGTGTGTTATGGCCGGGCATCATTCATGTATCTTTGTGAGAGCTTGCCCGCAGACTGTCATGTGACAAAGCAACAATGAGGTAAGATGCCTGGAACACAGCGAGGGCAGTGTACCAGATGTGACTTGGAGTTGACTCACAAAGAATTGTCATCCTTCATGTGGAAGACAGCTTATCTACTACCTACAGCAGAGTGGTTTATCAGAGATTCAGCCCTGTTCGTTTCTACCGTTCCCTATCATGCAGGTATCTGTGAGGGCTTTGAGATGATGCTGGTTCTCGAACTTGCCGAGTTAGGCCCACTTCACAAGTACCTCAAGAGGCACACGTAAGCCAACCATCCCCATCTTCTACAAGAACTCCCATCACACAAACGAGCTGTAATCATAAGGAATGGAAAGTAGGCAGCTGAAAACTGTGCTCAAAATGTCTTTTAGGCGGTTGATCTTTCCGGTACAGTCCACAGGTTTTTTTTTAAATTGGAATACAGTGGATTTGGGCAGGTTCTCCCGCACAGTGCAGTGAGGGTTTCAGAGAAACTGAGTGATTCCTGTCAAAAAAACAGTCACCTAGTTGTTACATCTTGAAAAAGATAGCACCCCTCCCTCCATTTTTCACCACCTTTTCATAAATACCTAAATAGCTATTCCTATTGGTCAAGAGCTGTCTTGTGGATGGTCTTTAATGGTTGATTAAACACCAGCTGGGTGATCTTAAACTCTTTTCAGAGCCACATAAACTTAACACGCAGAGTCCCATGAAATCTGGTCCCTTTTCCCTTGTACTGTTTGCAGTGTTTGTGCAGTACTCCCCATAAAACCATATTTTGAGAGTCCCAAATGCACACTACACATGGTTCTCATCACATTCTGTGGCCCCAATGATAATTGTTTATGACTACTGGCAAGAGGCACAATCAATTGTATGGTGAGGGGGCGGTTGAAAAAATAAAGACGTAAAATTGTGTAACAGAAGGAATTTATCAATGAGTGTTGCTTGGGATGTCTTAAATGTATGAAACCTGCTCAGGAGAATGGATGCTGATCCCTTTATTCTCAATGTCGTCCTTCTCCGTACAGTAACATGAGCATCCGCAATGTCCTGGAACTGATGCTGCAGGTCGCCAAGGGCATGCGGTACCTGGAATCTCAGAAGTTTGTCCACCGAGACCTGGCCGCCAGAAACGTGCTCCTCGTGGACGAGACCTTTGCCAAGATAAGCGACTTTGGGATGTCCAAGGCCCTGGGCCTCGACAGCCAGTACTATGTGGTAAGTGTGGATTACCCTGATACGCACGCCGGCAGACTTCAGCTCACCTGCCATTTGAACTTTCACCAAGAGTCAAAAGTTCACTTCACTTCTCCCGTCCATGCCCTACATGCGGGCTAGTCGCCAAGGGTTGGATTGCATATCCAGTGAGTACCGTGACTGGTCAAATTCAGTCAACAGGTTGACTGACTGGCCTTGAGAAGTGTCTTATCTTTTACATTGTGAATGCGAGGCTCTTTCAATTCAAGTGAATAGTCTCAGCGAGCAGTCAAGCCTGTGTAGAATGCAAAATTCCTAACCGACCAATGAAGACATTTGTTGGATTTGGATTGGTGGAATGTCTCTTTATTTTTTCACTGAGAGAGGAAGGGATAAACGATGGATTTGTGGACAATTCACCGCGTTCTCTTGTGAGTTATACTCAAGATCTTGTCCCAGACTTACAGAGATTGAGCAAAGAGAGCAGCTTAAAGGAAAAAAAAATATTAAGAATATATAAATTTCTGTATTTTATATATTCTTAATATCAAAACAGCCTGGCACAGAATTGTTATTATTTTTCTCATTATTTCCCTCTTACTTCAAAAAACATTACTGCTTCTTTTTAAAAGGAAAACAAGGCCATCATGTAAAAACAAATTTAAAGAAGAAAAATACACCCAGTTTTCCCAGAAAATCTGTCAAGGTTAGGTTATACAGTAGCCAGGATAGAAATTGAAAAAGACCATTCATCAATTTGGGGCAGATTTGTTCCCAGAATTAATCGCTATCGCGTGTTGAGGATTAGTAGGAGTAAGTGAACATTTGGCAGGATTTGCCAATACTTCCCTCCTCCCTCCCCCCCCCCAACAATTTAATTCATTTCCCCCTTTGCACCTGCAGAGTAATTGGCTTTCCTGCTCTGTGTTTTTTCCCCCTTTCACAACTGCACCCCATTTCTCTCCTCGGTGAGTCGTACCCCGTCCCCTTCCCCTCCCCTCCCCACGGCCTTTCCCTCACGCTCAGGTAATCGTTTCCACTCTGCTTGTAGCCGAGGTTGTTCACAGCATCTGCTCCGCGATAGGGGCTGCAACCTTAACCCCTTTTCAACAAGAACTTTGGGAGCCATTTTGGCGTACGCTGTGATTGGGCCAAGCCCAATTTCACTCCGGTGCAATTTTCCTCAGGATGACAATATCTGGTGGAGACCACACCGGCCAGTTTCCTCCCGAGGATTTTTGGGGAGTTAATGCAATTTTGAAGCGATGACGTGAGCATCAGTGTGTTGGTGCTGATACGGTAGCTTCAGTCAGATCGTGTAACCATGACATCAGCGTAAATTATTTCATGCTATGACTTTGCACATGCTGTCGCAAACGTATGGAGAAATAGAATGTGCATTTCTAAGACGTGCGATAAAATGCTCGGTATTCAAGGTGATGAAGCACTTCAGTAACTGCAAACTGTATCTTTTCATGCAAGAAACTCATTACAGGTTAGCACCTTCAACTAATATGACAAATGTAATTATTTGCCCTTTGTGATTTATATCGTCCTGCAAATTTTTTTTTAACTTTCCAGTTTTTTTGTGAACTGTTGAATATTCATTGCATGGCCCCCCATCTTTGCTGTCCCTGTTGGCGAGTGCTCTTGGTGGATGCCTTGTAATCTTTTGTTTTGTAGGATGAGACTACCATCAGGCAGCCCCCAAATCCATATGCAATATGTTGTTAAAATATGAATGATCATGTTTCTTGTTGGCAGAGATTACTGGTATGCGGCTCTAACCAGTATGCCCCAGAGTGCATCTGTGTGGTGGTCAGTTTATTTAAATGTAATGAATAATAAAGTTACTTGTGTAGGTGGAGTCTACTGGCAAATTACACCAAGGTCAGTATTAAAAAGTTTATATTGCAGCAGTGAATTTGAATGTCATGAATACTCAGTGTTTCTCTCTTGTAGGCGGAGACTGCTGGCAGGTGGCCCCTGAAGTGGTATGCCCCAGAGTGCATCTACAGATTCAAGTTCAGCAGTAAGAGTGACGTGTGGAGTTACGGGGTCACTCTGTGGGAGGCACTGTCGTACGGCAAGAAACCATATGCGGTAAGTTGGCTGATTTGAGCAGGCCGGAAATACTTTTGTTTAGGGATAGAAGATTACTTTGTAGGATATCTGTTGTGATGTTGCCTGGATATCTCATCTTCAGTGATTTAGCAGTTAATTCAGATAACTTGTATTGAGAGTTGCTTTGAATGTACCAATAAATTTTAATAAGCTTTTGGGTTTCTGCCAACTTGCGGAAAAGATTATTGAAAACTATTTATTTTGGTAAAGATTTTTAAGTGACTACCGATCAAGGTAACTTTTGCTCTCCACTTGGACATCCCCGCAGAACATGAAAGGACAAGAGCTGATGGCGTTCATTGAGAGCGGATCCAGACTAGCCCAACCAGAGAGATGTCCCCCTGAGGTCTACACGCTGATGAGGCAGTGCTGGGAGGATGAGTAAGCTAACTCTTTCCTTGTCTCCTCCACCCCGCACCCCGGGGAGAGCAGATGTCTGGCGATTGCCGGAATTCCGGCTTTTTCATATGATGGGAAAAGCCTCGTGAGCCAGAACAACTTTATTTTAACACGGCAACTTTATACCGTACCTGACGACTTAAAAAGCAGCACAGCGCTTTCCAATTTCCATGGTCTGTAATATGCGTGAAACAGTGATTTGATTTGCACATAGTGCCGGTCACTGCATAAGCGGTGCCCCTTGAAAGAGTATTCGAGAACCAGAAAAAAAAAACAGGAATTACAGCAGCTTGCCAATACCCGGCACTCTGTACAGAGGCTGACATATTCCACTGTCTTTTCCCTCTGCAGGGCCAGAGACAGACCCAGCTTTGGAGAGATTGTGGACACCATGACAAGCATCATCAGACGGCTGCGAGCGGGCACGCTTAGAATTCGCTGATTGTGCTCCAAGGACTGGAAGAAACCTGCTCTAGGTTTTTTTTTTATCACCGGACAGTGAACGTGCATTATGGCTTAACTCCTTCAAGGACTGGCTTACCAGTCCGTCGATCGAAGGCTGTCGCTGTATTTTGCATTTTGGACCGTGCGGAGATTGTACAGGAATGCCTGTGCTTCCGTGCGGCAGTCTCTTACTGTTTCTTTTTACGTGGTTGAAAATGAAAAAGTAGATATTACATTTCCACGTCCGTGTACGGCGTAGAGGGTGTATGTAATTTTGTATTACTGGTGTGAATGTTGCCAGGACCTTGGCATGTCGCAACACAACTTCTTTTTATTGCGGGGCTGCCAGTCCGTCCATGCATGAGTGATGGAGGGCGCTACTGAGAGCACTTCGTACTTTCAAAGAAGTCGGTGCTTTTGACAACCATGTCTTCAGATGACTACACAAAATGTACTGCACCATGAGAGATTGCCTTGCAGTGCAGGTGAACCACATAACAAAACAACTGGTCATATCTTCAATGGAGCTCGTACCCTCAGTGCTAGAGTAAGGTAGCTGTCACTTTAAATAGCGTTGAAAATAAGAAGTGCCACTCGTGCATCATGACTGTAACTGGACGCGTGTTACTTCTCACTCTTTTTCCAAATAACCTAGGAAGAAAGTAGCCCGCACTCAATTCTGCATCCTGGGACTCTTGGGAGACTTTCGCTAATTAAATTCTCTATTTGCAATATTACTGTACAGGTTTAAGAGCTTAGCTTTAATTCAGTGTGGTAGAAGACTCCAAGAACCACTTTTATTTCCTAAAGTTGTACTGGCACGGTATTTTGTGTTATCTTCCTGGCTTCCATAGTATTAACCAAAGACTGCTCTTTTGCAAAGTGAATTTGACTTGGGCTCTGTGGGTTGTGTATGATAGTTTTATAAATGTGTGAATTTGTCACAGTTTGCTTCAACTTTGGAAACCTTTCTTGAAGGCGGCTATCTGTAAGAGGTATGGTTGGCACTAAATGGCTCATTTATGGAAGTGGCATGCCTGCACTGGTACTAGGAGTGTGGGCAACCCATTTTCAACTGAATGTGTACAAAATGTGTGATGTCCTCACATGGGATGAATGTCCTCAGCTGAGACTAGTGTCCTCACATAAGATGAATATCCTTACATGAGATTAATGTCCTCACATGAGATTAACACACCCAAGCGGGGTGCACGACCAAAACGATGCCAGTGTTCATGGTGCATTTTCTCGTTTGGAATGCACAAGACACAGATTTTACACCGATTATTGTGTAACTGATAGCCTAAGCCAGATAAGTTGGACAAGGCCATTTTTCAGGGAAGTGTTATTGGTGAAATTTTAGAGGTGGTTTTTGTTGAAGTGGCACTCCTGTGGAAGGGAATTGATTTGTATAATAAACATTTAATCTGAAAGATTTGATGTGTGTGCACATTAAGCTAAACCTCATAAAATGAATCGCAAAAATACCACGTCCATTGTAGAAGAGAAGAAGAGAAGTTAAATAAATTAAAGTAATCATTTTTTAAAAAGTCATCAGGCCAAACCTTTGGCAGATTTTTTTTTTGATATAAGAACTTCCTTTAAGCAGTAACCAAATCAAATCGTGATCTTCCCTCATTTTGTAAATACAGCTTCTGAAAAGCTTTTGTGATAAAATCAAGTTCATTCTTAATCCATTTCAAATCATTTTACTGTACAAAGGAAAATCAAAGGTGGCAGTGCACCGTAATTTTAAGTAAACCAAATAATCCACTTCAGTGCAAATTGGACCTACTTCCCAATACCTGGCCTTGAAATTTCATGTTCATTTGCCGGTATGCTCTTGTTCGCACACATGTATGTATTTGCACCAGTGTCAAGAATGCAGTAATTTGGGGTCCTCTTTTATGTGATATTAGTAATGTAAGAACCATACTTTTAAAAAGTGACTTGCTAAAATAGTGACGGATTAAATGCCGTTGTTGGGAGATTAATGACATTACAAAGCTAATGTCAGGAAAAGTCAATCTACGCGTTGTCAGCAGATGAAGCACCAGCAAATCTTTCTTGCGTTTTCTCTTTGAAATGTACAGCTTAATGCCAAGAATCTTGGGACACACTTGTCGAGTGAATATACTTAGTGTTTGATCAAACTTCTTTTTATGGTGTGAAGGTTGCAGCCACAGGACCATCCATCGGCAGATTTGGGAAGGAGGCAACTGGGTGTCATGGTCCTCCCCCCCCCAAAAAAACAACTTTTTTTAATGACAGACGGGCAGTTGGGTTTTTTTTATACTGTTTCATTCGCTGTACAACTTGCCAAAAAGCTCTAAATTTTAGCTGTATCACTCAGAAAGGCCTTAAAAGGTGACAATATTTTTGCCCCTCCCCCTGAAGAAAAGAACTTTAGTTTTAGATCAGCCTATGAGTCTTGACGTCATCTCACACGCATGTCGGCAATCGGTTCACATGTTTTCGTTGTAGACCACGGCCTCCTGGAATGACAGTTTCCTGGCAGAAACCTGATTTCCAGCTTCTGCATGTAAAACGTAGCCAATATCAGGCCTTAACAATTCATATTTTAGGCTTCCCTGGGCCGTCGTTCTCCGACTCTGGACAAGAATCTGAGTGGAATTTCTGATGGCCACCGTCGTTGGTCCCGGTCTCCAGAGGCTTGACCGTTGAGATGTTAACCCTAACACTCCTCAATCCTTCACCTGTTGGAGGACCGAGGACTGTTAGGGTTAAGACCCTATGCAAATCCATGTGGTCCCAACACAGACTTATTTGCCTGATGTTTCGGTAAAAGATCTGCAAGTCCTTGTACTCCTCCACTTCAAATTTAAAACCATTTTTTAAAACTTTAAGCAAGCCAGTGATGGTCCTTATCAACAGATGCATGACAGTTGGTCAAGCCAGGTTGTTTTGTGTCAATTGGCAAACGTGTCTAGAAAAAATTGGAAACGGCTTCAGTTATAATGTATATTCATGCTGTAAATGGTATCAGTTGTGTCCATAATACAGGTGAATGTATTAACTTTCTGTTGGATGTCACTGTTGTACCTTTATTTATCCTCTGCTAATTGGTTTGGTGTTTATGCAAGTGTTTTTCTGTTTGAAATCAACAGTATATGTCACCTTTTTATTGCTTAATGTTGCTGTGAAGTACATGTACCTGCAGTTTGGTGTACTGTATCACTGCAGTGGCCATGTGAATTTTTTTTCGATTCTAAGAAAGCTTTTTTTTTTTCAATTTGATGGAAAAATGATTACAGATCAGTGCCTTTATGGTCCTGACGGCATTTTGTTACTTTTCTAAATTTGCAAAAATTGAATGTTTCCTTTAAACTCTTTTGGCATTCAGCCATTACTATTCTGCTCCTAACCCCTGTATTTCCTGTACAAAGTTAAAAAAAAAAAGAGAGATGTACCTTACAATGGCTGCAGACTATTAAAACATATTTTATATTAAAATTTTTTAGATGTGTTTTTTTTTTGTTTTGTCACCTTGAGCGTAAATAGAAATGTAAATAAATTGTGCTTCTCTGTAGAATGTCAGAAACCTATAAAGATGCTGAAAAATGCATTGTTACAGTACATTTCATTTTGCAGAATTACCATGGTTCCAAGATCATCAGTAAAATGATGTGATTGATATACGTTGTCCCAGGGATTGCGTTATATTGCAATCTCATCTACAGGCACGATGAGGTCACTAAAATTTAAAAAAAATTTCCCAGTTTCATTGAAAGTCATGAAAATAAACAATTTGATTTATTGATTATATACAATTGGATTTTTACAATATTTCTCAGAATTTGGACACACAATCGGGCACAGTTACGAACTAATGTTCTGTGTTTTGCAGTCTAGTCATCTAGGAATTAAGCCTGAGAAATTACTGTGTTCCAAAATTAGGGTTATTCTGTTCAATTTATTTTGGGGGGAATCTTTTGTAACATTTGCTCAAAATGGTGGTTACCCTTAATTAAGATACACCCTGTTGGTGAGCTACATATCTTACCTGAAGTCAGTACGATGCATTTACTGTTGCTGAAATTTGTATAAACGGCATATTTAAACAAATTGTAAAATTGGGTCATCTTGTAAAAACAAACCAAAATCGCACCACGTGATCGAAAAACTTCATCTGAGAAGAAGGTAAACATGTAAAAGAACCCAAATAAATAGATACTAAAATGTGTAAGAGTTCAAAGCATTCTCTACCCAGAGTTATACATTGTTGACTCAGTTCTAGAAAGTCATTCACAGAAATTGTTTGCAAAGAAACTGGCAAAATCCAAGTACTGTTTTCACAGGGAAATGGTTTTCAAGCCCATGTAAGCAGAGGTTAATAATTTTCTCACACTTGGGAACTTGGCTTGGAGTGTCAGCTGGAAATTACTTGATCACTTATTGTTTTCCAGATGTATTTTTGCGTTGGGGAGATGTTAATTTATATAACAGATTTTGCCCTTACCCAACGTATATTAATAAGCACTGTATGCTCAGTACTTGTCCGAGAGCTTGCGAAAAAACCTGAGAATTTTTCCCAACGCAAAAATACATTTGGAAAGTAGTTCGCGGTACCCGCTGCTTCACTTGACTCGGACCGGCCAGCTTATTAATATACGTTGGGTAAGGGCAAAACCCACTTGTTTGTTGATCAAGGAATAGACAAACATCGCAAACGATACATAAACGTCTCCAGAAAGACTAAAATTACCACCTGAATTACACACTGCGAGTAACAGGCAGTATCTGCGAGGTTATAGTAACTGTTCTACACATCAAGACACACAACTGAAATGTGAAAATCAGAGACGAGGCTCGACCAAAATCTGACTCACTGCAATCAGATGACAAGAACACAATTTTACAGTGCTCATTCTATGCAAGGGAGGTTGAACAGAAAATGGCGCCAAAAAGTGAAGTTAGCATCCCTGGAAAAATAATAAAACAGAAAAGAAACTAAGAATGGCTTAGACACACCAAAAACAGAACAGTTTTACCAGAAACCCTGAAAAATGGCTATAAAAACCCCTTGCTCTTCGCATGCATTTTTTTTTTTTTTGGCCAGTCTGCTCAGCTCGATTATTAAAATCCAATATCCTCCATACTTTGCACTGGAAGATGTAATACGTCACCGGGACTCCAAACGGCAGTGAATAAACTTCAAAGTTGGAGGGTACCGCATCCGCATATCTAAGGATAAGCATTCCTTGAAGCGTGTAGATGCACAAAGATGTACACAATATTTATGCACCCAAAGCATGGCGCCTTTTCATCAGGTGAATACCTTTTTTTACGTATTTATTTTACGGGAGGGTAATCTTCCTAACAGCTACAAGGCTGACTTCACAAAGGATGCAACTACAATGTGGTCGAGCCAAAGGCGTGTAACGATGCCTCAGGCAGCTGCTGGATGGCCCATATCTGACCACAGAGGACAACCAGAAATGGAGAGAGGAGA